ATTTATATTTCCTGGTAGCTGTCTTCTCATATGCAATCAGCTACAATCCCTATACTAGCTCAAAACACTGAGAGGATAAAATGAAATATAAAGACACACAGAGCACATTACAGAGTTTTCACCCCCGCAAACGCAAACAAGCACATGTTGCCATTAAGCAAATACATGTTTTCCTTGCTGTCCTCCACACCTCACCCCACAACCCCAAATGTGAAATAGACCCTGCAGATCGCTCTAGCCAGAGCCCTGGTTTACTTTATGGTTCCATAGGTTCAGACTTACTGAAGACTGTACAGCCATGTGGACATGCCAGTTTATCTTACCTGTCCCTTACTGCGTATGAGTTGCTGTCAGTATCTTCGTAAGGAAAATAATACAGCAAGAACTTTGAAAATATGTTGTCTCACATTATGGTATGCACATCTTTGGCATAAACACCTTAAAGTGGGGTTTCTAGATTAAATAAACTAGCAATGTCGTTAGATTTTGCCAAATTCCCCTTCATGGAGTCAATCATTTTGCATTTCCATCAGCAATATAACCTCCCTTATAACCTCACCAACACACTGTCAAGTTTTTGGGTTCCCTACCCTCAAAGAAGGTAATTGTAAGACTAAACATACCATCTGAATTCTATCCAGAGGTAGACCGCACCAATCATCAAAATCTGTTCTTCTCTTAGGAGAGTATGTATAATTAATTTTACTAGGAAAGACGTCTAGCCATAAGAGACAGGTGTATCAGATACTACAGCTATTCGATGGTACACTAAGCGGTTAAGAAAAAGCACTTTTCATTCACATTTCTCTCACGTGTGAAGTTTAAGGACCACTTGTCTGTCTCCTGTCCATTCATCTTCATTATTTTATTGACTCCGTTTCCTTAAGTCAGCCTGTTAGTCCCTAGGCCATGCTGCCTTTTGTTCAAGTCACCACTGGTGTGCCCTCATTTCTGCCCAGTCTCCCAGCTGGTCTCTTGCATATATCCTAGTGCAGTCTCCCAAAGCCACTAATATGGTCTTTTGCACAAAGAACTTGCTCCCCTGTCTATAATCCCCCAGTGGCTTCCCATCACAACCCAAGTTCCCATTGTTGTCAAGGCCAACTCAGCACAGAAAGGCCTAGTCCATCGTCTTTCTCTAGACATTCTTCCTCTCTACTGTGGCATACTGTGTCTCGTCCTTTCTGTCATCACCAAGTTTGGTCCCATATGAAAAGCTCTCAAGGAGCTGTCTACAGGGACACCTTTCCTCACCCCACCCCACCCCCACTGCTCCTCTCTCTTTCAGGAAAGTTCACCTATTACTTAAAGACGATAGTTAGCTCTCATCACCCCAGTGTGCAACTGTCCCTTCCCCAATCATTACCCTCTATGACTTTCTTCCTACCAGCTCATTACATTCTTGATGACTCACATACTGTCTAGTCCCACCTGTCTCTGGAACAGAAGGATCAGGATTAGGGGGGGACTACCTCTTCTATCACTGTCTATATCTGGAATACTGTCTAGCCATTCAAAGATAGTCAATAAGCACGTTTAGGGTACTCAAGCCAGTCGGGCATCTTTCAGTTTTCTCTTATTTCTCTGCTGTTTCTTGATTTGTCATCGGCAATTGACACTACTGACAGGCCTCCTAGAGCAGTGGCTTTTCAGAATTAAAGACATGAGACAGTTTACTAAAATCACAAAATCTCCATCAGGAATTTAAATGACTAGTAAAAAGCCAGTGTTACCATCAAACTGGCATAAGAACTAAATGCCCTTAACACCAGTGACACCTCTTAAGGCACTAAATTGTAAGACTAAACATACCATCTGAATTCTACCCAGAGGTAGACCGCACCAATCATCAAAATCTGTTCTTCTCTTAGGAGAGTATGTATAATTTTACCATGAAAAACGTCTAGCCATAAGAGACAGGTGTATCAGACACTACAGCTATTCCATGGTACACTAAGCGGTTAAGAAGAAGCACGCCATAGAGCAGTGAGCACTGGCCCAGGAAGACATCCTGGAGCAGGCTCTGGAGATGAAGAAGCATTGTTCCAGGAACAGGAAGCAGCACACACAGACGATCTCATTTTTATAAAATGAAATGTGATATTTACAGGCATATGAAAGGTTCAAGAAGACGCAATACCAAAATATTAGTAAAAATGGCTTATCTGTGTTTTCTTTCTCTCTCACCAACACATTAAAAAATGGTTAATAGCTACTAGAAAGGGAAAGATTTGGAGGTTCTCCAACATCATATTGCCAATTCCTTCCCTACTATCCCCTTCCAAGGGGCAGGGTCACTTGAGAGAACACTTTTTCCCAGCCAATAAGCACAGCTCCTAAAGTCAGAACATGAAAACTGCATAAAAGGCTGAGATGTAAGAAGCTCCAGTACCATTTTGTGCTACTGATGTCATTATACATTATATCAGACATGGCATTAGAGCCAACGGATTAGGGAACACTGATCTATGTACTGTGGAAGTCCTAGAAGTGACTTGGAATGTTGTAAAATGTTTCAAAAGAGAATGAAGCACAGCATCATTTATTCAAGATTTTATCTAAGAAATCAAAACAATTCAATTCTTCTCTATAAAATAGACTACTTTCAAGCTATTTCTCAGTTTCCTAGGAAACTGATGTAAAATGTTCTGAAATAAAGATATTAAAAGCAAACTTTCAATGTGTTTGTGTATAGTTTGTATATACTTGGTGTGTTTAGTCAAATGCTGACATTTCTTATCACTTTACTGAGTGCCAAAGAATTTAATTTTACAAAGTTTTGGCAGCACTAAGGATCAAGCTTAGGAGCCTGTACTTTCTGGGTAAGTAGATATTATACCCTTAAACTAGTCCTGCAGACCTAAAAATGAAACTTAGAGGAAACACTGGCATTTTAATGGGAATATTAAGAAGCTCAAATTCTATGCTTACAAACTCTTTTTTTTTTTCAAGTTTTCTGACTTAGCATTCCCTATCATAAAGTTCTGTGCTTACACACCTCTCACCAGCCTTTCTTAGTGTCCTGTCAGTATTCTCAGTTTCAACTCATGGTTACCAGAAGAGACCCATTTACATGATCAGTAAGTTTAGGTCACATTCTTTCCTCTCCCTTTCCTCATTTTCACTGAGAAGAACACATATGAGACAGATGTGAGATCTAAAGCAAATGTTGCCTTTGCATCAGTTACCTGCAATGTCACTAAAACAGGGAGGACCAAGAACCAAGAGCTCTAATGTACAGATTAAAACAGAGTATACATTCTCAAGAGTCCAACCCAGCACATCCACCCCCTCCACATTAGTCCTTTAGAACAGTTCATGCAGAAGCAGCTTCAGTGATAGCTTAACTTTGCATCCTCATCAGCAATAGTGAGAATGCATACAGGCTTCCTTTGTATTTGGAAGGGACAAATGAGCAAACATGAAATTGTGTTGTAATCCCTCAAGAATTATAAAAAGGTCTTATTTGGACTCTCACTCAATACTACCCACATACTAACTGGTTTGTAAACCCAGAGGCTTACTTTAAAACAGAAGTTTTCATAAAACACATACACAGGCATGCAAGCAACCCACTGTTTAAAGATACAATTACTTTTGTGTTTTTATAATATTTAAATATTACAAAAAGTTACAAAAGTGTATTGATCATGGGCCTTAAATTATTGTAACATGAAGACACCAATGGTCCAGCTAAGGTTAAAAGGTTTAAGACATTCCTCTAAAGAAAGGGAATCATTTGTAGCATTTAAGTGAAACAAACAGGCCAATCTGGCTTAAACTACTGATGATACTTTGTCTTACAAGTTCGTAGCCTTCAAGAACCATCCTGTTATCCGGTATTACTTCTCCCTAGACTCCCAGGTTTTCAAAATTCTAATTATAAAGCATCAAGCACTTCCTCTTCTCCCTCCTACCCACCCACCCATCCCACCCTCCAGTGGTTCTGTGCACCGAACTTGGCGTTTCCTTCAACATGCTCAGCACTGAATAAAATTCTCCAGGCAGGAGGTGGGGAGGGAAAAAGAGCCATGGAAATAAACACTACAGACACCTGTAGGGGCTTCATCCTAACTCCCAAACCTTCACATTACTAAGTTAAGGCTAAATTTTAGCCTTTGACTCCCTTGAAACGCCTGGCCAACAATCTCTCCCACCCCTCTTCCTTCGGAAGAGGTAAAGTAAATGAAGTTTTTAAAGTGGCGATGTATTTCTCAAAATGAGAACTTTAAAGTGAGCAGAAGACTGAGGGTAAACTCCTTGTGGGGGAAGGGAAACGGGACTTTAACGTAGCCCTGGAAGAAAACACTGACATCTTTCACAGAAACCCCCTTTCCCAATTTCCTTTCTTTCTGTGTTCCAGTTATAATTGGAAAAAATAAAGCACTTATATTGAAGATACTTTTAAAATCCTATTTAATACCATACACATTTCTGTGGCAACCTCTACTTGAACGTAAATAAGAGATCCTCAAATAGGCTGGGTCTGGATTGCTCTAATACAGTTACCTAACTGGTTCCAGGGAAGTGGAACCATTAAGTTCTTACCTTAGGTACCATCTGGCTAAGTAAGGACAGGGAGATGGGATGGCTATTCCAAGGTTAGGGTCCTGGGAGTTTTATTAAGAAAAGGGGGCACTTTATATACAGACACATGAAGTCCTGATAAAGTCCCACTGGACGGTACCCAGCATTACAAAGAGGAAGGGGTGCGGGCTGCAGGGTCCCAGGTCGGGATGAGAGAATGGGAAGAGAGAACAAGAAACCGGGCGTAGGGGGTGGGAAGAGAAACTGGCCAGACGCGGCCGAGAAAGAATAAGGGGTGGAGACGCGAGTCACAGCCTTCATCCCCGGTGCCCAGGCCCGCGCCAGCCTACTCCGGGCAGGAAGGAACCCCGAGGCAGCGGCCGCCTCCCAACCGGACCCTTGGAGACGGTGGAGGCCAGAGGTGCGCCGCGGCCCGGACGCGCACGCCGCCGCCGCCTCCTCCTCCTCCTCACCTTCGGGCATCTCTCGGTCGCTGATGTGCTGCAGGTGGTGGCCCTCGCCGGCTCCGAAATCCAACTCGGCGGGCTCCACGGCCGCAGCGGGCGCCGGCGCTACCGCCACCGCGTCCCCGGCCGCCGCCTCGTAGACCTCGGACTCGTAGTCGGGCT